AGTAAATAATATGCAGGGGGTATTATTCATATATTTAGACTCTATTATTTGCTAATGTAGTTCGTGATATGCAGAACATTTGGAAATCAGTTTCCACATTACGCCTTTGGATATTATTTCCAGACCTTATATATCAAGCTACACTAAACCATAAAGAATTATGGAATACTTTTACCGTTCCCATTAGCTAGATCGAGCAATTCCTATGACATAATCCATTTCTAGTTTGGCGTGACGCGGCACCTAGGGGCTGGGAATAATATTCAAAAGCATAGAGTAGAAACTGATCTCGAAAATATCTGTAAAGCCATAACCAATAAGGCTTACTGTACATAAACATACACAAGGATTAGATAGTGGCACCCTGCATATCGCCTAGCAAGGGTTAAGGGTATGAATTCAACACCATCTATAAAGCCACTGCTGCGCTTGGCCAAGCCAAGTCTACTCTTCTCGGACCCTTTACCGAGGCAACACTTCCGCAAATGCCCGTCATATTCCAAGCGGGCTGTAGACCAATTGGAGATGCAGGTTCTCAACACTAGTACCACTGGATGATATACCCTCGATATAGCCCATTCGGCTATATTCACCTATAACAGTAGATCTATACCCCATTAGAACATGATTGTGTGCTTTGGCTCTTTAAAACTTACAGCCACCATGCACAAGGGCATAGCCAGTGCTCTGTTGTATTTCCAAGAGGTTGATATTGCAACGCACAATCTTTCATTTTTTGAAGGCCGGGGTCTGTTTTGACAGGGTACGTAATATCATGGGTAGGATCCCTATCACCGTCTTCATCCCACTTAATACCGGTCTTGGTTGGGCTGCCGCTGATTTCAGTGTCCCGTTGCTTGAAGATTAAGAACCAGTGGAATTTGCAGTGTTCAGCTTCTCTAAGTGCACACTTGACGGAGATTGTTCTGCTTGTACAATCTGGACCGATGGCCCTAGTCCTGCATTTGCTTGGTCAGTTATTCCTTTTTACTGCAGTGCGCGTAGAACATGCTGACTTGCCTTCGAAAACTCTCCAAGCAATCTCCAATATCGAATTTGATATCCCGTTGTAGAAATCTTAAGAACGTATCAGCATCTTCACCCGAGGTATGTAACCCCTTGTCTAAAAGCGGAAATAAGTGGATGTTCTCGAATGACTGCAATTTCTCCCTCATGACCTCTGAACTCATTTGCAGATAATCAACTCGCCGAGGTACAGGTTTCTCTTCAGATCCGTAGCCTCCAAGCTTGATGAACAAATATACGCTTCGTTCGAATTGCCCCAGGAGTGCACATCGCCGTTGATCTTCCGTTGTAAGGCTAATTCCGGGGATGTGGTTGATGTGGTCTGTTGTCATAACTATTTTCCTTATAATCGAAGGAATTTGTATTTCTTTTGGTCTGATGGTCGCAGTACACGTGAAGTGAACCCCCTTTTGTACTCCGTTGTTCTGCTCAGTACACCATGTGTTGACCCAAACCTTGGTATAGTACATTAAATCGTTTATTCCAGTCTCTTGCCTAACCACACGATCAGAAAATGCGCGCAGGGTTGGGTCTCGCATTTTAACATCTCTGGGACCACATCTAAGAACATGCACAGGGCAGTCTGGTTTAGAAAGGTCAAAGATATTGATGGTGACCCACAATTCATGGAATTTCTCATCGAGAATACATTTGTTGCCCCTTGTGCTCTGAAAACACAGAAGGCGCGTATCGACAGTGATAGGTTCGTGTCCCATTGCGAGGTTTAATTATCGCGATAATTTATTAGAAGCCGAGGCATAAGGAGGAAGTCATTCGAAAGGAAAGAATAGATACGTTCATTATTTTCCTGTTTTCTGGATTTTTTTAAATGGTATCCCTAATTGCATAAGTACTCAAACCAAATACAAAGGAGTCCCGAGGTGACCGTAAGTGCATTGATCCGTAACATACTACTGTACATTTTTAGCCACGCCACTTCGATAGTTCTCCGGACCCTGTTGAGATCCTCTCCTAGGCTTCCGTACTCGAATTTTCCTCTTGGCATTTCATTAATTTAATTTTTGCTCCTGTACTGGTGGATCACCTCCATGCTACGTAGTGGTAATATCATGATCAGAAACCTAATCTCCATTTCTCGTACCGCTGATCACCGGGAATTATGCCCTCGTACTCTGAAACCCTTTGAACAGCCGTAACCCGTTCTAGATGGAAGAGGTAAGCGGGATTTAAACGAAGAGGTCAATACGCACAGATTGTCGTTTGACCCCCGAGATTCTTGCAAATTCTGTAATCCTCCAAGAGCTGTAAGCCACGCTCTGACTCGCGAAGCACCCTTTCCTCAAAATCGATTGTCGGGAAGGCAGTTACTTGTACCACCTCTCCAAATTTGTTGAAACAGCACACACTCTCTTGGCGTACTATCCGAAAATGGCTGTTTCCAATCATTCCCTTTATGTAGTGTCTACGAAACATTAGACGTCCATCGACTTCGGTCTCTCCGTCCTTGAGTAGGGAGGATAGAGGATCTATAACCTTGGTCAGTGTGCTTTCAATTCACTAGCCATGCAACCAACCGACCTGGGGAGCATGTATTGTTAGCCTTGAGTGAAAAGCCAAGGCAACCGAAAAAGGCTGACAAAGCTGCAAGCAGGGTATGCATGACTTTGAGTTCTAGCACGTAGAATTAACCGATATTGAGAGGCACACAGCGTGAAGCCGAAGGTACTGAGAACACAAGTTGCCACTTTATAGTAAGCTTATCAGTAGCCTTCCTAAAGAAACGACAGCAGAATTTAATAATTGGATATACGCTATTCCAGTATTTTTCATTAACCAACAATAGTCATGTCGGGTCGGGTCACAATTGCACCAGGATAGCTGCTTACATTAACTTGAGAGGCACCCTATAGAGTAACGAGAAAGAGCTTTGCCACTAGATATTCCCTGGCAGCATATGTCATTACCTTGTCAAACGTCGCTCATTGAACAGTAGTCCCCATCCCAACAACGCGTGATTACATCACGGAGAACTAGGCTTCTACTTTTGGATATTTTCTCTTGCTGAAGAGATGCCCTCACTCTTCTCATTAAGTTTTCTGGCCCCAGACTCTCCTCCAGTTCATGATAAAGCACGTTTCTTCACTCAGTTTCAAACAGAAGTGAGCCAAAAGGGAAAATATCCTTATTGACATCAGGCGCAGACCTTGGCTGATAGCTATACCACTCTCAGCAGTCGATAAGAATTACATGGCCTGACCGATCCAAAATCAAATTATGACAACTAGAATCTGCATGTATGATACCATTACTATGTACGTAGTGCAGACCCTCTGCAGCTTCTAAAGCCTATCTGGGCCTGTTATGCATCGACATTTGCCCCTGTACTAGATCCCGTAATTTCTAACGTAGGCATTCACCACATTCCAGTACCAGGCCTTCATCTATCACTTCATGACAAATTACGATCTTGTGATGCTTATCCAGCCGTTCATAAGCATAGATCTCGGAATTGTAGGCTTGACGAGCTAAGTCGCCGGGATTGTCCGGGTGCTTTTTGGACAAGAGACTTGTGCAGCAAATCACATCTTTCTACGTACTTCTCTATCAGTGAAGCGAACCATCATATGCTATTCGCTAGTCAGTAAGTTCTCCAAGACGAGCAAATTTGGGGTATATGCATGGTTTACGGACAGGATAGAAAGTGAGCAATGAAAGGATTGAGACAACAGGCGCTCTACATCGGGTATGTCTACTATTGATCCAGCCTCCGACCGTAATTTCTTTACATAAAGATACGGGGATAAACGAAGACCCACTTATGGTCTTCGAAAACCATAAGTGGGTCTAGGTTGCCCAATTGAGAAGCGCTATAACCACCCTGGTGATGGTGATTGGACAATGAGCTGCCCACATCTCAGATCGCCCCCCGCTCCTTGAGTTTTGGTCAGCTTGCCCAAGCCTCAAGGCGCTTGAACGTACCCTTTCTCCTTTGCCTCTTGACCAGAAGATTCTGGGGTAGATATCATGCGTAAAAGATGACGGGGCAACTCAGGCCTTAATATAGGCATGTCGTTGTCTGCTTATATGATGATTGTACTCTTTGATGCGATCTGATGGCTCGTTTAGCGCGTACTAGCTACTCGATGATAGGGTGGGACAATAGCGGACAACTTACCGCGATAACGTGACGAACTAGTGGTTAAGTTAGGCTACGATAAAGAACCTCTGAATAATTAAAATAATTGCGATTCAGCTTACCACCTTTCTGGTTGTTTGTTCATAAATTCGTTAGTCAAAGGATGGATCTTGTATCAGCGCTGAAGATTCTAAAAGCATCAAATGACGATGAGCTTCAATCTCACAAGATACAGACAATTCTGATTCTACGAGATGTAGGTCAACGTTTGCAAACCCGAATTCTACCAACACCTCTTGATCCTTCTCCTACACACAGCGAGGTAGAAGACGACTCTTCTGTGTTTACAGAGAACTCCGAAAGAGGCCGGCTTTGGCATAGCTCGTTGGGAACAAGGCTTCCTGACAGAGACTCCGACGAAAGCCCATCTCCCAGCAACTCTATCATCACAACAAAGCCGAAGCGCTCCAAGGTAGAAACTGTACTCAAAGCAGTCATAGGCGTTCTGCCATGGATATGGTCTATCAGGAACGAAAATGTCCTTGATCTAATCGGGCGTAAACGATCTGCTTCAACCGACCGTCGAACTGAGGATATAGCACGAGTTGTTGGTGATGCCGATGCTAGACAAGAGGACAGGCTACTTCGAGCCTGCGCATTGATATCTTATGTATCCGAACTTGGTTCCTATGAGAAGAACCATAATAAGGACTCCAGGGTGGATCAATTAGCGCAACTTGTTTCCTCAGGACATACTAAAACAGATTCCTTTCACGAGCGGAAGGGAAGTGTAATTGCACAGTTTGTCAGGGACACGCCTGGTTTCAAGGAAAAGGAATCAATGATTCGTCGCGCAACTGGCAGTGGTGTCAAATTGCACGTACTGAAAAGACTCGTTGAGGAGAGGCTAAAGAGCCAGGGTCTACCACACGAATGCGACGCAGTCCTCCATGTCTTAGGCTTGGTCAAACATCGAGTTTTCGGAACAACGTACGAGAATACGCTCGATCTCGTCAATCTCTTGTTTGCCGAGGACACACTTGTAACATTATCGTCACCTGATGACAATGAACCCAACAAGGATAGCTTGTCACAGATACATGTTCTCGATGTCATCGGGGCACTATCACCGTGGTCGAGAGCCTTACAGAAGAGTTACGAAGGTTGGTCTGCACCCGATATGGAAAAGCAAGCACTCACAAACCACCACAGAGGCCATTTCGGATGGCTCTGTATCCGACTGCCCACAACCATACAACAAGCGCGCGCGGGGAAACCAGTGCAATGATATCGTAGGCTCCTCGAGATTCGTAGGAGACAGTGATACCGCTACGCATGCATCACTTCAACTTCACAATGGGACGTCCTCTATGCCACAATCACAAGCGTTCAGCAGCATTTGCAACCCTGAAGTTCTATCACATAGGGTGGAAACGCGTATACCGATGGTCGCCCCGAGAGAAGCCCAATACGTCTGCAGAAATGAACCACAGAACCCATCGACTGGATGTTTCAATACCCCGCCTCATAGTTTAGTACACACATGGGCTGGGAATGGTGCGATTCCGGACGTGAATAGTGATACTATGGAAAGGACAGAAGCCACACAGCAAGGGCTGGGCGTCAACTATGAAAACAATCAAGATACCAGTGTTCTACCCATCCACGTGCCTCGAGGCCAAGCGCCACAAATGGTTATCGATATGCAGCAGCAGCAGACCAACGCACAGGTAGACATGGAAACACCCGCTGCGCTGATTCCCGCAGATTACCCCCAAGTATACGCCTCACCATCAGCTATGATACCTGGTGATCATCCTCAATTATACCCATACCAACTCGCGACAACTTTTACACCAGCGGATTTCCCACAGACATTTCTTTTTGACACAAGCCAACGTGTGGATATATCCACCCTGCAAGTACCACTTTCTCCATGCGCGCCCTATTCTGGGCTACTCGTAGAAATGGAGGGGCATATGTTATCGGCAAGAAGTATGATGACTTAACTGTCTATATCAGGCAGAAGATGGAGGAAATGCTAGGATAAGGAATAATGCAGGCGTTATACGAGGCTCTCGTTCAAAGGCGATGGGGTCGTTAGGATGGAGAAGCGGCTGCGACGGTTCTGACAGAAGTCTGGGTTGGCCAGTAATAGTAGCGACCGGAATGATATATCCTTTTTTCCCGATGCCTTCCTTCTCCAATATCTCTGCATCCTCCATGACTTTCCATGCTTGGAAGCCATACCCACGAAGGTAGTCTGGGAAATCCTTCGTTGCTCTCACCAGAACCGGTTTAAGGCCAGGGTCATCACAAAAATATAATTCCCTATCACCTTTCTTCCAACTCGCAGTTTTCAGGAAAGAGGCGAGCTCGTCCATGGGCGTCTTTGGTATGGTTGCGCTGTATCCTTGCCGACAAATGATAAAAGATTATTACATACACAGGCATCTAGTGCAGAAGAAATAAGATCAGCAGTTCGGGTACAGTCAAATTTCTGTAGATACGCACTTACAGAGCCACTCTTTTCAAAAGGCCTCGCACATGTAATCTCGGATTGCCGTAGCAAAAGTGAGGAAATTTAATGATCTAATGTTACTTGCGAGTGCGGGATGATGCCTAACAAATTAGTTCGGTTGTCAAGAAATGCCCCACTCTCACTGAGGGGTCTCCAATTATTCAATGCCTACTCATCTATGATCAAAACTCTTGCGAATGATATAGTTTCCCTGCAACTTTTTTCCTTCTTGGATTTTCCTTTCTTTTACCACACTACATGCGAAGGAAATTTATAATCCTCGTGCAATACTTTCCCAGCGACACTCGGCAAAACAATGGCGGAATGATCCTAGAATTGCGGAAAACCGAAGAACTTTTTCGAAGTTTGACCGAGAAGTGGGGCAGGTGCTGGGCCAGCCACACAGGTCATCGGAAGAAACCCATCCTGGGACGAATATAGTGTTCTTTTGACAGGGTTGAGGGAAACGAAAAGGCTTGAAACAATGATTAGACATTGATATCTGAGGTTAATGCTGCCACGCCCTCCCAAGGCAACAAGCTGACTGCCATAGTATTTTCGCTTAGATTCTGCCTCGCCACAGAGAGCATTTCCAGCGGGCTCTGTCCTGTTGATATCATGTGACCAAGGGCTGAGCAGAGTGTCCCAGAAGTAATCCCAACTGGACAATGATTCCCTTATTCCAATGTCCTGAGGCTGTCTATACCTTAGCGATCTCGCCGGAGTTATTAAATTAACGATGGTTTGCTAATTATGTCATACACACTTCCACGAATCTGGAAGGTAGCTGGCCAATGGTAGACAGGCAAAGGGACCTCGCCCCATGGAGTGCCCAACTCCAGTGTCTATGACTAGCTGAAAAAAGCTTGCGAAGAGCCAGAGGACGGGAATTGAGAATCTAGTAATATACTGTAGATTTCGCACTGGATTATGATCAAAAGTGTTACGGCGTTAGGGCAGGCTATACGGCACCTGAATAAATGCCAGGGAAGCTTTGGACGTAGTAAACTAGGATCCAAAAAAGAGTGTGCAAAGGAATTTGCCATCAGTAGTTGTAACTAAAGTCCCCACCCGACATTAGAAAAATGACGATATATTTGGGAAGATTACACTGTTACGGATGCAATACAGGGGTGGTTGGGTAGCCCGGGTGGCCGGGGAAATACGTTAATTAGGTCATTAAAGTGACCTTAATAATCACATATTTTTACTGTGATCACGTGACGAGGGTCGGTTGTCTTCATTACATTTGACGCGTGGATTTCAGAAGCTTTGTGCAGCTTGCCAGATTTGATTCACACTGAAACTTAGGAGCCTGGGGTCCAGTTTTACAAGGGCGATATGAATGACTAGGAATGATCATGGATGAAAGATCACAAACGGATCGAAGTCGATTCGAGAAAGCCAATAACGATACTATTATTCGCGTCGCCTCCTATCATCGACGAGACTTCGATCTTGCAGTTATTAATACTAACCCCTCCGACCATGAGCAAGTTCGTAGCTCAATAATGGGGACAACCGGTTGCCCTTCGGTTAACATTGGGCAGCTTGATTGCCTGCCCCTTGAGATCATCCTCGAAATATGCCTCTTACTGGACATCAGGTCCCTATTTAGATTTCGCCAGGTCAATCGCCGCGCTCAGCATATCATCAGTACAGTCCGCGGCTATCGAGAGACAATTATATATGCTCTTGAAGCCCTTTGTGTTATCTTGAGAATGAAAATAGCGCCTCACTTTACTCTACATGACCTGTTCAGTGTCCTGTGTACAAGGGACTGCCTGCTTTGCGGTTCCTTTGGTGGCTTCGTTTTTCTTCCGACATTGATGAGATGCTGCTTTTCTTGCATTAGGGGGAATCGCTTGCCCCCTGTCATGTCGGTTGCTAACGCAAAAAGGTTCGCAAATTTGAGCTCTACTCACCTACTCAAATCTATTCCTGTTATAAAAACTATACCAGGAATATATTCATTGGATGAAAAACCGCAAAAGAGGGCGATGCGAATCGTGTCAAAAGAGCATATTGCCGGAATACAAAGATGCCAGATCAACGAAGAAGCACAACAGATTCATCCCAAAAATTCTTCACTTCTATGCTATATGGTATCAATCGCTTTGCCCTATCTAGACACCACAAGTGGTGACATCCAAAGTGGGGTTTGTTGCAGCGGTTGCCAGGTTGCCCTTGAAGAAGCTCTGAGGATATCCAGGGTTGAGGCCAATGCTTCCACTTTACGAGATAAAGTCTACTCACATGACGGTTTCGTGGAACACTTTCATAAATGTCGAAAAGCTCAAAGTTTACTCGCATTAAGTAAATCCGGTACAGAGATCGCTAAAATCTCCGAATCTGTTAGGCGTGGCGGTTATTTCAACAAAAGGAAAGTGATCATGGCTTTTGGGAGATAATTGAAGATATATTTTTCATGTTATTGAGAGCATGCGCAGGTCAATGACACTATCACTATATCCTAAAAAGTAGAAAACTATATTTGGCCTAATCTTGCAACTCTTCGTCCGAGAAATACTTCTTCGGGGCTTCAGGGTTGACAAGATGGCCTTTGCAGTAGTTTGTAGAATTTTTACCCCATTGTTTTTGAACCGGCTTGCATTTCACATTTGTCCCGCTGCGCTCAGTACATTGAACAAATTCCATCTCTTTCTTACATCCACAGGTATATTGTATGAAGAAGGATGTGCACATAGTGACTAATAGATCATATTAGATTGAGGTTCTTCACATGCTGAATGCCATTTAGATTTACCTGAAGCCTGCCCAGTCCCCGTACTATTGAATATATGAACACACCCTATCAGGGAGTTGGTTGGATTGTGTATATGTATGTACCTGTCTTTTGATGATCAGTGCTGGTCGCTGTTACAATACCAGGGCTGCGTCCGTCAACCTACAGCTCATAGAAACAATATAAAAGAGTGGAAATAGCCCTATTTGGTTTTCTGTTCAGCTGTAGGTTTTTGGCTCATATATATAGCTATAAAAAAGGCTTTTGAGTTTTGCGGTTGACATTAGAATGGGTACTCATTGTGCGCTCAGGCCTTCGCGCTGATACACATTGAGTTCATGAAGCCATATGCACAACAATTCACACATGCACACCAATCACATTTGGTATATACCAAAACAGATGCGTGGCAATTAACCCATTTGATTGATTCTCCAAGATGCCGTCGGGGTATTTCACTTCCCCGCCTTCAGGACCCTTCGCAATCCATTAGAGTCTGCTGAGATTTTGGCTTTCCCTACATCGTTTATATACCAACACGGATATTTTCTTCCTCCTTTCTTTTTTTGCAAAAAAGAAAAGAAAAGAAAAAACCTCACAGAAACAAAAGACATTTATTTGAACCTTGCCCATTTGCACCGCTCTTTCCACCCAATATTTTTTCTGCACTCTCTTCCATTTGTCAAAATGAGTCGCTGTCTTCAATCGGGTCCGCCAGTTATACTTTCAATGGATGTTTGCAGTCAAGACGATAGTGAATACAGGGTACTGATTCAAGGTCGTGTTAGATACTTGACTATTGCCCGCGGTACATATGACAGGTCAACCCTATCTATGCCTTTGGACTCCTTGCCAGATTTACCTGAAAGCGAGTCTTGGAACCGAGCACACATTAGTCGAGAGTCTATGACAGGTGAGCTCAAAGCAGAATTCTGGAATGAAACTTTACCTGAAGTTCAGGATATTTGGCATCCTAACTATTTTGACTGCTTGGAGCTGCAAAGAGTGAAACAAATAACCGCAGCTACATATGAGGCAACTTTCTCGAGCCAGGGGTTATCCACTTCATCGAAACCTATGCCAACGGCCATCGCCAAGATTGCACGATTCTGGTGGGAAATACCTCGCTTGTCGCAGGAGACTCGTATATACAAGACTCTAGAAAATACCGGCCTCGCCCCACGATTCCTCGGCCATATTCATGAAAATGGTCGTGTGATCGGAATTTTGTTAGAAAAACTTGAAGGCCGTGAAGCAAATATTAAGGACTTACCAGCTTGTATATCTGTTCTCAAGCAGCTCCATACTATCGGCATTCATCATGGCGATGTCAACAGATATAACTTCATTGTTCAGAATGACGCGGCAAGACTGATTGACTTTGAGAGAAGCCAGATATGTCACGGTGATGCAGCATCCCTGGAAGCTGAGATGGCAAGTCTGAATGGTCAATTGAATGAGCGCACAGGACGTGGCGGAGGATTCCAGTTCAACGAAGCATAAAGATGAAGTGAGCAGTGATTTGGTTATGGAATACTTTCTATGGTTCTACAGTAACCAATTTTTGGCCGCCCCCACTGTCAGCTTCCTTTCTTCTCTAAGCCCCAGACAACATTAATCTGGTCCTCCACTTCATATATCGCGACGACGAAGTGTTGGTAGGTGATAACTGGGCCTAGAAAGCAGAGACAATACATCTTGGCTGGAGGACTGGTTTGTTTCACTTCTTCCCTTCGTTCATAGGTGTCCATTCCAATGGTGCCTGTGGTGTATGTCCGCAAGCCGTCTGTGTCATCCAAAGCCACCCATTTGTCCATCAGAATCGAACCTTAGTATTCCAGCTTATACATAGTTTCGTGGTTACACAGCACTATTCATTGTCATGTAATTATTATTTGATGTTTGGTACAATTGCCAGATAAGAGCATAACTAGCTATGAAAAAATGTGATTCCTGTAATCAATATCTTAGCCACTGTAAGCAAGAAACTTTATTGTGCGATTCCTATTGTATTTAGTTCACGCTGCGACACTTGGAGTAGGTATCCGAAGCTATGCGCCTCCTGATGTGCCCACCATTGAGAGAGAAACAATAGCCAAAGAGGCAAGGCTGCTGTTGAAAGAGTATATGCTATCTTAAGGCCTACCTTGACCCAAGGTATGACATATCACCAAGCCTTGCCTGATCTTGATGACTGCTGTAACATTATTGTAGTTTGAACTATAATAGTATATGATTAATTTGGAGAGATATGGAAGGCGGCGGGGAATTCTACCAAGTCAAATATTTATTGCTTCCGAGGTGCCCACTTGCATACGCATCCCTTTCATCTTTCCGAAGTCTGTTCACCAAATTCGACTTACCATCTGAAAACAATAGATATCCCCCTAATTCTCCTATATGACCTATGCGCGTCCTGGTTATATGGATGACCGCATGTACCACGACCGATTGCCCTCGCGCTCACCTGGCGGCATTGCGTTCCTCCTCGAACAATAGTATAAGCGTGGATGCCTGAAGGGCCGTACAGTTTCTCTTTCATACTCTGCTGCTGCTAACTGTGTTTTCGGATCAAAGTATCACTCGCGCTCTTCCCATGTGGGCTGGCTTCAGACAAAAGACGCGATTAGTCCCGAGACTACTCGGGCTCCATCCCTCGTCACAGCAAAGGAAGCTGCGATGGGCATCGATGTTCGTCACGTTCGCCTTTACTCGGCGCGGGAATACAAAGACTGTGACCGAGAAGGTAATCTCTCATCTAGATACTGCAACCGAAGCAAAAGTCGCAGTCGGAGTGAGAATCGAAGCCTGCGACGTGACTGCAGCAGAACGGCAATGCAGTGAGTCATCCGTCGCCGGTTACTCCGCGTAGTGTGAATGATGTAGTACTTCACGTCGTTAGCAGCTCAGCCAGGCCTGAGATTTCTGATGCAGATTTGTCTTCTTCCGAAAACACCATTTGTGATTAAGATAATGCCAGTCAAATGAATCATACATTCAATGAAGGCGAGGGGAACCTGTCGGATGTGGCACGATTGGTGTGCCATCCCTTCTCACTTCAGTCGACTGAGCAATAGCTTCTGCAGCCTGGGCATCGAGAATTACACCGAGAGGGCCTGCGCAATTCCTGTTAGTCGAGATAGGTTGACAAGCGCGGCTTTGGAAACTGAGAGTAAGACAACGTGCGGTCCCGGCACAAGGATGAGGGCTAGAGCTTTAGGGACTCCATGATGGCGCTGGATAATTATATTTTGTTCATCCTTGTGCGACAACCCACCTCGGAGATTGGCAAGTTAAGAAAACAGGCCGTAAATACACCTAAACAACAATATCGTCTGCCATCTGAAAACGGCAGCTCGTGGCGGCTCCATGGGGACGTCGATGAGAAGAGCCAAGTGATATTTTCGTCGTGCCTCCCTTTCATGAATCCTTGATGACAAGGGGTGTCTTTGACTCATCTCCTCCACGGTAAGCTTTCCAACATATTGTAGCCCGACCAACAACACACGAGGCACGCCTCATACGTCCCTCAAGAATAAGGACACTCCGGCTGTCCATCACCCAATATCCAGCTTCCGAGCAGCGGTAGACCCTTGAAATAGCTGATGTGGCCAACCTAAAACCTTGCGTTGATTTTTCGGGGCAAAACCATCTTCTGTTGCAATTTCGTAAAACCTTTCAACCTTTACGACTAGCCAATCCAGGGCCTGCTTTTCCTCTGCAGATTGAGGCCAGTCACGCCAGCCAGCTGTTTCCCTGTATAGAGGATCATCTCCCTCAATGGATCTATGGAAGATAGCAGTGCCGGCTTTCTCCAGATCTTTCACTCCTCCAAAGAAGGCCTCCTCAAATCCAAGTACATCCGTGTATATTGAGCCTAGTTCCTCCTTCAGCACAGGGCCTATGTCATCCCGGCGTTCATGCGAATTCGAGATCATGCTTGTAGAACAGGAATACGGCGTTTGCTCGACGCACGGTGGGCGCGTGGTTTCCGCCGCGGCTGCGTAGATTTTATCCTAAATGACCTCATCAGATTCACTGTTGAATGCCGCGATTAATAAGGGCAGAAGTCGCTCGAGGTTGAATTCATTGGAGTTGATACTCGAGCTTAACCTGGATAAATCATTAAATAGGTTTTTGTGGGCGCCAACCACAAGGGGCAAGGCGCGGGAAGCGGGAAGGGCCTTCAATGCCAGTATTAGGCAGATGCAAAGGTTCTGAAGGGCAGATTCACGGTTAGATACAGTCATTTGTCCTTAAAGAATAAGTACCATCATGATCAAGTTCGTGTACAGATTGGACAGAGCAAGGAAGACCCGAACTTCTGCAAGTCGATACGAACTCGTCGCGGAATGCATTCAATCCGTCGCCAATAGGCCTAGATTCAATGATTTCCCTCTTAGACAGCAGAGCCATCCTGAATCTGGAGGGGAAAAAATGAGTGCGTTTCTGAAGTGTTCCTATGTCTGCAGTAAATTCATTGACAAGAGCGAGGAGCGAGGCCCAAAGGGTCTCTGGAATAGGAAAAAAGGCATGTAAATAAGATACATATCTGAAAGTATCAAGTCTCCTACATATGACGCGCCTCTCGGAGCTTCGATTGCTTTGCAATGGCCTCGGCCTCGGTCTCATATTTGTCCGCAAACACTAAAATACGGAAATCCAAAGACACATATATTAACGAAAGTTCATCAGCTAATAACCGATTTAGGCCTAGCTAAATTGAAAATGACAATACTAGCAGCGAGGTATTTGGTCGACGCACAAATTGCCCCACATACCGTAGGTGGCTCAACCCGTGACAGATTAACAGAAAGGGACCAACTGAAGAGGAAGAGAGTGATCAAATTTTCAATTCTGTACGTAAACCTCGCGAAAGGAGTAGTTAAATTATCACAGTACGTACAGCTTCCTAGGCCATAGTTAATAGTGTTTTCTTTCAGAGGAAGATTGGTTGTTGTTCATTACTTCTGTGAACCCGAGGGGTTTATATACAAGTTAAACATCGGACTGATTTCCAATCAATCTGACCCTTATACGGAATTTAGTCCGTACCTGAAGCTCTATAGTTTACCTGGTCGAGCCTCAATTCACAACAGATAGAACCAGGTTGAAAATAACAACGTGGCTTTGGAATGAACTGGATGTGTGCACGGCTCTATACGATGGACCACGTATGATGATATGTACATAAGCTACAACATACACTCACATCTTGGGGTTAGAGGCTAGCGTAATCACATTTTATTTTTATATTGTTCCAGGCCAATCGATTACCCATTCTTAGATCATCCACCATATTTCCTAACAACAACAGATACTCAACAACCAGAAAATACAAGCCACTACGGAGAATGAAGAAGCCAGCCAGCTAGTTGCTAACATTTTCTGGCCCAAGCTTGCATTAATCCCCGCAGAATAGAACACAGATTCAAGGACACCGACAAGCGAGACATACACCGCCGTAACTATTGCTGACCCTGCTATATTAGAAACCATCGATATCTAGATACGGTTAACGCTTTAAGACCACGTTCTTAAGCTTAAAACTACATACCATTGCGCATATACTAATCAAGCAGCTTCCCCAGCCGGAGACCATGGCCGTTAATCCCGTAATTAGGGTGAGTATAGTTGTGGTAAGTGCGGTTATGTAGGTGGCGCTTATTCCCTTCGATGTCACCTTATACACACCCATTACCTTTTCGACTTGGCTAGAAAATATCTGTTCTGCCCATGAGCTCTCCAGCCCAAGTACTTCAGTAAAGTTAAACCAGAAGGACGAGCTTGGAGGTGTACATTTCCTGACGGTCGAACCAGTTCCATTGAAACTCCCTTGGCAGTATCCCCAAAGCCCGATGATGTAGAACTCCTCTATATTGGATTCTATCTTAGCAAGTTTATCAGAAACATCCTGAGCCTGATTTTTTGCTTCATCTACCGCATTCCCCACCGCCCCCGTCACACCATCAATTGCGTTGTTGCCTGCATCCTGGGCAGTGTTGCTTGGATCCTGCAGTGTTGACGAAAAATCTGAAGTAGACCCTGCTACCGCGGCTAAGGAATCATCAAAAACTGACCGTTGTGAGATGAGACCCGTTAATTTCTTCTCCAGAGTTGATCTAAACCCCGTTAGGTTGGCCTGCACAGTCAATTGCTCGGTTCCATGCTTTCCAACGGAGTATTATGCACTGACCTTCATAAGATACAGTTCACTTTGAGGAGACGATGTTTGGGTACAGCCAATACCCACGAATATAAGACATATTAGGGTAGCAACTGAAAAAACATAAGGCAAGACGACACATAGCGACTTTCTTGTCTTACCCATAAGTCATAAAAGTCCCGCGCTCTGGCAACGAAGGTGGTATATTTGGCGCCCTAAGAAGCGAGTTACTAACAAGAATAGTCTTCAGTTATTAACTTAATCTTTTAAATTACTGCTTGCATATACCTACAAGCAGCGTTTTGTTTTTATCTCTTCATATATATTTATCCCCTAGGCGATGGTTGCTATAGTAGCTGATAGGTCTTCAAGCTATTGCTCTATTATCTTAGCACACCGTTAACCCTCACTATATAACAGTCTCGAACAGGTGAGGTCTACAGGCCGGCTTTTAGATCCGGTAGGGCCATAAGAGAAAGAAGGAATGTGTATAGTAGGATGTCTGTAAACATCCGCGTTCCATCTCTATACATTAGGAGCATGAGACAGCAGCTTTTTCTTGTAGTTTTAGCTTATATTAGTAAGGGCATCCTGCATTAGGCATCCTTCCATTGCAGACGGAGATTCTATATCTACCCCCCTACTTTCTTCCCACCCGCTCTTCTTTATCCTATAGCAAATACTCGAAGCCGCTTGTCAGATACCACAGCAATATATTCAGAATTAGCTTTTCTGGCTTAGTCCCGACCTCATTGTGGGCCATGGTACTTTATTACAGGGACCCATATACCGAAATGTCGTATTGAACCTTTTTTTTTTACACTTACATTGTTAGCATACAGTTATTTACTTGTCATATATTTACGAATGTAATCTTGCACAGCCGCAATTGTGGCTTAAAATTTTCTGTTACAAAACAGAACACGATACAGCGATGGAGCATAACGAGTCAATACACACCGTTTGTATCAGTCCTGTCTCCGCCAATGGGCAGTATGATAGGTTGATTGTTCATACTCAGGTTATTCAGCGCCAATATTCGATTTCCGAGTCCGAATTACGATTTCCATGATGATTACCGACCGATATGCCATAGCCCTAGATAATTAACCTTTTTACCACCCAGAACACCAACTCTACTGTGTCCTAAGTGCTGCGTAGCCATCTATAGCCATGTGTGCGATGAATAAAATGGTGCGCCAACTGCTTTTTAGATAGTAGTAGCGAATCTTCATCTCTCTCTGTGCTAGCGTCTGTTGTCAATAGAAAAAATACACGTATCTCGAACCTCTAGCAATTTGTAGTGGAATAAAGGGCAAAGCGCCTAAGGAACATCGGCAGATGGTATTTGCCTATTTAAACTCCTTTCCATCGATAAATGCGGTGTATCCTGGTAACATTCACTCTGAGAGATATATATCTGATTCTTCTTAAGTTGCCTCGGTCCTAGATTCCATTCACATAAAGTGTAACTATTATTAATAGTCTGAGCTCGCGCCCATACTCAAGATTCTTGGAGTCTACACTCTTCCGCTTCTCACGAAAGATCCATTCCAGGACCACGAGTGTTAATTCTTCTCATTCATCCCATCCTTAGATCTATGCTTAGATGCATATATATAGCTGTGGCCCTTAACTCAGGTCTTCAGTTGCCATGAAAATTGCCGATTATGGCGACCTTGGACATAGTAAGCGAGAGCTCTTTGTACAATCATGAACAGGCCTACAGGTAGATTTTGGCTCGAGGAGCTTTTATCAGGAGCTGGTATCAGTGCCACATGTCTCGGTGTTTATGTGGGTACTGCTTAAAAGGTCCTTTCATCATAAAAGTGGCAACTTCTCCGAGGTTTATTGTCCTGCGATCGTAAGTCTGGCAGTGAACGTGCTGACAAGTAGCGTTGAAATTTATGCCGCGTAGGGTTACTATATTTAGTTATGTCCTAACCGTTCCTCGACTTCACATAAGAAGATATACCTGTCCTTCCCCCGATACAGTCACCATAGTTCTTCTCAATGTAGGGCTCTGACTTACGAGGCCTCAAGAGCTGGTTTGCTTTTATTGTAAGTAGCTAGCAAAATAAATTTAGGAAAGGCTCTACATACTAGCGAGGGGAGAACCGGGCATTAAAACTGCCGTACGGAGGATATATGATGTGAAGACGGAACAGCTAGGCCCGGAGGCCCAATCTCCTATAATCAATTTTGAAGACTACGTTGGATCATATACTTTCTGACTTGATTTGATTTGCACATGTGGAACTGTTAAGCCTGGACTTATGAGCGCCTTAGGCAAGTGGGAAACTCTGGTGAAAGTACACTAAGACATCAAACCAATTACCTAAAAGCATCCCTTGTCAAAAATGAAACATGTCGGATGTTTTTAAAGCTCTTTGCAGTACGCAAGTCTCTCTCGCATTGCGAATCCCACTCCGACAAGGGCCCATCAAAGTTCCTTCCGTATGAGCATTAACGACTCTACGCCATACCATAAGTGACGTTTGGCTCTAGATGGACCCAGTGGTGGAAAGACCTGAGGATTAGGTGCTACACGTTACGACGTTTAGAGATAGGTGACCATACGTATTCTCACGTTACGAGGGTTAGCTTAGAACGATTAATACAATCGCTGTTGGCTTTCTACTTCCATAACAATAGTCCATATGTACCGCATCATCACATTGTGTAGCATATCAACCAAGGAGCGGTAGAGTCCTCTTCACTGTACGGCTTAAGTTCGTATTTAACGGTGCAGACGACGTATTCACATGGAGAGCAATCACGATAAATAATTTATTTGACATTAGAAGCCATTCAGTGAGGGACTGTGTATTAGCCGAAACTCTCAGCGACGGCCATACACGTCGCTTACTCGTCATAAAGTGGACCTCAGTCGTAGATCTGGAGGCGTCCTGATGTTTATACCCTCAGCTAATTGTTGGAGTGATGGGCTTGGCGCTATGATTTTTAGTTAACCTGCCGTCCGAAGTAGTCGGCTTAGCTGAGCAATCACGGATTGGCTCCGGAATTGATCCCGGATCGCTCCGGCGCACTGGTTCAATGCTCCGGGAGCACTCAGCACACGCACTCCTGTCTATCCCCACGCTCCGGGAGCAATCACTGAGCAAAAAGCGGCCATGAGCTAGTCCCGTTCCGGAAAGGGAAAGTCCTAAAGTTTCCGCAGAAAAACAATACGGTAGTAGTAGTAGTAGTAGTAGTAGTATTCAAGTGTTCAATCTACCCAATCAAAATT